ATGTGCCACCCAGATTCCTCCTACAAGAAGGACTATGTCCCACCTGCTGTGGTGTTATTGGCAGACACATTTTCAGCTTAGAGCCCTTTCAAGGATTGCTTTGGCCATCCAGATCTGCCTCACCTAAACGTGCCTCCTTCCCAAGGAAGCTCATCCACTAGCTGAGTAATATAGGGAACGAAGGCTTGGCCATCCCAGGGCAAGTTGGAGGACCATTCTAGTTTTGGAAAGGTGAGGCCTTTGCTGGGCCTATACTGTAGCTCAACTTTTCTCTCTGCCTAGTCCTGCTTCCTTCTCCTTAGAGACTGATCCCAAGGTACCCCGTCATCATCACCATGTACACTAAACTCCTACATGTAACAGTGTCTGACACCAGGACACACAGCTATAACCACTCAGTTCTAATGTCTCCCAGCAGAGCAGGCCGGACATCTAGCATGAGGCCAGAACACAGCAGGTGCTCAACTTATTTGTTGGAAGAATAAATACACAAGTAAAGAGATTCTTTGGGTAATTAAGGAACGTGCACATTTACCTTCCAGGTTCTCTTAATGACTGTTATTACATACATCACCATAATGTTTGCAATTAGCAATAAGTGACCCTGTGCCCTCCTGAAAGCCCCGGAGCTTTCTCTTTGACACTTAGGCTGCCTTTTTCCTCTGAATACTGGTGCCCTGGGGAGCCAACAGGTCTTTACCATGCCTGTGTTACAGATAAAGTGAGTCTGGGTGTCCAAAAACATAGCCATAGGCCGATCAGGAGTGAGTTCAGGGCAAAAACTCTGTGTCCTTCCTGGTCTGGGGTAGCTGGAGAAGATCAAAAGTTACCTACAAACTCCTTCCTGGCGCCTTGAGCCAGGCCCGTTCAGGCATCTCACTAGTCCTTGACCTTTTTCCTGCTATCGAAGTCACCACCCCCAACCCAGTTCCCCTGCAGCTCCTGCCTCTGGATTTGTTTTCCAGCAAAGGGAAAGCTGGGTCTCTAATCCAGGTCGTGAGCCTGGAAGAAAAGAAAAATATGAATGGATCGGGAGGCAGGTTGTATCTCTCCTCTTCTCCTTTCCCTCTCACCTCTGCCTCTTGCCAGGTTCCCTGACTCCCACTCACCCCCTCCCTTCCCCACCCCTGAGCTCCCAGACTTCTTTCCTTCCTTCCCATGGGTCATGGCCTCCAGCAGCTGCAGAAGAACACTTAATATCATATAGGTTAGTTGCTTAATACACTTCATGTTTAATCTTCCAAATTAACCTCTGAAGTAAATACTATTTTCTGTTCTTTACAAATGAGTTAGAACCAAACCTTGAAATTCAAAGAAGTTGAGGAACTTGTCCAAGGTGTCACAGTAGAGGTTTTGAAGCCAGGGCATGTAATGCCAACACTATTTCTGTTATGCAGTGTGGCTTGCTGTTGCCCCCAGGTCTTTGGCATGTGGCCCTGGGCCTCTGAGGTGAACCACGGAAGGGTGGTGCTATGGAAACAAAATGACCAGCCAATAGGAAGAGTTACTGCAGCAGCAGAAGTCACACCAAGGAAGTGCGGCAAAATAGACTCAGCTTCACTGACTTGGGGTCTCACACCTCTCCATGTGCACCCTTTGTACCTTGATCACTAAAATCAGTAGCTAAACAATCTTAGCATTTCAAAAGTCTAGAGTATGTGAGCTGGTCAGCACCTCAGGTCTTTTGGGGGGGCTGTTCTAACTACTTGGATTACAAAAATGCACCAAGGAATGCATGTGGGATGTGACAAGTTTTAAAGCTTTTCTCTTCCAGTGGTTGCTCGAAGTTAACAGGCATCTGAGACGAAGGAGCACATGTAAGAAGCCACGTTTGCTCATTTTTGCTTGCCAGCATAATTTCACAAAACTCCTGACATCATGCAGTCTCCTCATATATCTTTCTCTTCAGAAAGATGCTTTGAAGACAAAACAGAGTAGAGCACATGGCCCTCCACGCCTCCTGCCTGAGTCACTACATCACTTATAAGATAAATTACCTTGGCCCTTGCCTTTTTCTATATGTCTGTTGGTCTGATAGGGTTAATGATTATGCCTCTGTAATCTATAACTAGATGAACTACTGTACCCCAGCTTTGATGCAATTTTGCACACACTGATCATCCACCACCTGTATACAAGCCGTGGGCTACTCTACCATGGCAGAACAGTCTGATAGAACTCTCCAGAGGGCTGCTCCCAGGCTATAGGCCTCAGTTAAGACTTCTGGATGAAACAATCTTCAATGCTTCAAAAGCCTGATTTTTTTTCTCCTTTAGTTGACAGGAGGCTGAGATGACACAGGAATGAGGCAGCAGAAACTGGCAGAAAGCGCACAGCCTGGGGTCCTGGTTTCAGCACCTCCTGGCTCCAGCACTGGTGCCTATTTCCCTACTTTCCCTGAACTTTGGTTTTTGTATCTATAAAACAGAGATCACCATAATAGTACCTACCTCACTGGTGTTATTGAGAACGTGAAATGAGATAGAAAGTTAAATAAAATGATGTTGTTAAACCACCCAGTACAGAGCCTCGTGTACCTACGGGACGCTCACGGCATCTTGGTTCTCTGATCCTATGTGTCCCGAACTGTGACCAGGGGAAGTAGGTGAGGTGGGGGCCTGTGAATTTCTATGAATGGCTCACTGATTTATTAAAATGAAAACACTGGAAGACAAAAAAAAATTGAAGTCTTATTTTGTATAGAATGATAGCTATGAAGAAAGCTAACAACTAACTTGTATGCCTTCTACTCCTCAACTCTGAGGAACCCAGAATACAAAAAACCCCATGGCAGAAAGCATCTTTGCTTCCAAGCTCTGTGACCATGGACGTGCTAATAATACCTAACTGTCAACCCTTTAAATGAGTAAATAAGATACACATGTATTTTTCAGTATTTTGGGGTGTCTCCTGCCCCCTCAAAAATAGGTTATTTCACCACTTTCCATTTCTGGAATTCTAAACATCTCTCATAGAAAGCCAAAACAAAACAAAGAAACAACACACACACAAAAAAACTCTCACAAATTTCCCCCATCATTAATGAAGAAAGCAAGTCCTGAGTGGAAGGGGTTTACCCTGGAATGAAAGAGCAAGTGAAAGGAAGTGTGAGCTCTGTGCTCTATTTCTGTCTGGTCCCTTGGCTCTGATTTTTTTCTGGTTTGAACCAGATGCATTTGCTTAGAGCCTTGTCGTCAGGTTATGCAAGAGGAACCACCTGAGAAACACTTTTTTAAAAAAGCATCTCAAGTCTTTAAGGTGCTGAATTCTGATCCTCCTTTGTGTCCCTAGAGGGGGCTGAAGTTTGGGAGGCTTGAAGCACTTGGAGGGGAAGATTTGGTCTGAGTTTTCAGCAATCAAGCCTTTGTC